AGAACTAGTGTGGCATCTAGCTTAGCCTGACTCTCACGGCACTGTGACGTCCTTGAGAACGTGAAGCCCAGCAGCACAGCTTGATGCTCTGCATCAGACGTAAGAGCTTTCTGGTGCTGGTGGTAAAGCAGGGTAACCTGGGTGGTAATCCAGAGGACTGATGTAGGGCTACAGGGATCCTGGCTGTTGTGATAACCCGTGTGAGGGTCTGATGAAATTCTGGGCTTCCTTCTGTCTTAAAGATTCTAGGTTGGCTTTTCCTTATTTGTATTTGAGAAAGTATACTTTTCAGAAGCATTCTTTAAAGGCTGTTGCTAAGGAGGCAGAGTCACAGCACGCTGATCAAAGTCAAAGATGCTGCTGCAGTTTAACTTTGCTCCTTGTGTATACGTACAATAGATTTAATAACTTTGGAAAGCTTAACTTTGTAACCTTCCTATTCCGTTATCATAATTTTTAAGGCAGAGAATATGCAGACACTAATCCAAGAGTAACAGTACAGCAGCAATTATGATACTGCATTTTAATTATTACTAGCTTTCAGCTTCCCACTTATTTGAACTTGGCCTGTATTCTTCTTCAGAATACAGATTTATTCCTGGTAAAAACTAATGTAGCTCCATTTTCATAGAAGTCCATAGAATAATTTAAGTAAGTTTCAAAAGAAAAGAATAGTGTAAAATGGAAAAAGTGAATCAGGTGCCTGTGATTTATGCAAGGCAGATTTCCAAGATTATTGAATTTCACTTCTAAGGTCAGTGTAGCATTCTGGAGTTGAGAATAAACAGGCACTCACTGTAGTCAGTGATTCATTGACACCTAACAAGTGTAACCAGATATTTTCTTGAAAGCACAATAATCTGAACTACATTTTATAGGAAAAGAAAGTACATTATTGTTTTACAATTGTGGCAGAAAATGCATTTGTATTATAAAATTAAGTAACTATCCTTAATAAAACTGATTTTAAGTAAAAGGACATTTTTACAGCTAGTGTAAATGGGTTTATTACGGGTTTATTTCCCATTGCTCTGTGCTTTGCTGAGTTTTGGCTTGTACAATTTTGGCTTGTACAACGTGGGAATATATACTAAGTATTTATACTAAATAAAAATGGTGGCAATTTATATTTATTCACAAAAGTCTAATGACATAAGAAGGAAGGCAGAGAGAAGACATACCAGAAATAACGTTCCAAATGCTGTAAACTATAAATGAAGATGAAATCCTCCAAATGTTTTTTTAGATTGGACACAGTAGTAAAATCCTACCAACTGCGCTATTCAAATTCCTTTTCTTTCCCCTTATATAACAACAAACAAATAAACTTACTTCAGGAAAATACACTTGAAGTAGTTCCCTGCTCAGTTAATACATGTTCCTGTAGATGTGCACATGTGGTTGTACAGTTAACTGTTACTGCACACAGAGATGCAGGTAGGGACATGTCTCATTTCTGTGCTTTACTCTGACATTGCTTTAATGGGGACATCTGCATAATGCAGGAACTCAGAGCTTGCTGAAACCACGTGGCAAAATTATGTCTATGGTTTTATGACTTTACCCAGTGTATTTCTTTTTTTCATAGAATTTGTTTTCCTTTTACCTCACTCTGCTGTTCTGTGTCTCTGTAGTCTTTTTTACTGAATCCTTCTTTCTGGTTTTCAACAGATTTTTTTTTTCCCTGAGCCTCTTTTGAGTAAAACACAAACCATATCATATTTCAATTTGAATAGAGGTCTTGCAGTGTGTGAAAAGGAATAGGTCTGCTGTTAGAGTGAGCCAGGACAAATCTCTGCTCACTGCACTCAGGTAAGAAAGTCCCTTGAGCCTCCTCAGTTGTCATCCAGGTCACCCCAGGCACTTATCCCAGTTTGACAGAAAGAAGGGGAGAATTGCATTGATCTATGCTTAAAATTTCATCTTGAGAAAAGCACTTTGGATTCCAGATATTTTGGGTTTCTATGCATGTGTAAAAATAAAATTATATTTAATGCTTACTACTTTTTTTTTACTGGAATTGCATTTTGTTTTGCAGTTAAACACGATAATATATTATTTTTGTGGTTATTTTAGTGTTGTTAACGCTGATGTTGCTCAGGTATGATACGTATAAACAGACACACAGTTCTGCTGTTGGTGGACAGGTAATGAATTTCTAATAATGTGCTAAATGCGTAAGCTCTTTTAACCTCTCTATCTGCTATGCTAGAGCATCTCTTCACAGTGGGATAATGCAAAAGAATGTTCTTATCAAGATAGCAGAAAAAAGAATATTTTTAAAACACCACTGAACGCCAGCAAGGCCCACATATATTAAAGTTATATATAACCATCTTTGACATGACCTTGCCCCTTTAAATATTTCATATAACCAGTAATAGAATATTTTTCTAAAACATTTGCCAAGAATGCTTTAAATGAAACTATCATTGGGAGTCATATACACATTTTAAAAGATTTGGGCTGCCATCCAAGAATTACATATGCCTGAAACAAATGCTTAAAAATTGTATTCCTATATATGTGAACTGCATGGAAAAAGTATAAGCCTGTACTGATTTTCATTACCCCTGGGTTTCTTGCTACACAAGATTCATGGCCTGCCCACATCCAAACTCCATAGAGAAGGACCAACTGTAATACATATCATGTCCACTTTAACAAGACTTGAGGTCCTGTGGGCCCTTACAATGTTAAGTGTGAAAGTACAGACTTCCATCAGAATTTGTTAATGGTCTGGCTGGGGTTTGGGTCTGTGAAGAATCACTTAGTGCCTGATGGAGACGTTTCATGCGAGCTATGGCTCTGTGGAATATAGCTCTTAGGGGACAGTGTTATCAGTCAGGGTATAAAGATCAGTAGGATCCCTCAAGATCTCAGATGACCTACTGATTACTTGAAACTCACGTGGAATCGCCAGTGATCAGAAAGGAAAATATTTTATGGACAGCACTCTGCACTATTGATTGTTTACTCAGATATTCTGATTAATTTCGGTCTTCTAGCTTCCAACACAGTCATGAATTTTCTTCCTTATGTGTTATCCTTACCAGTCAAGCTGGCATCAAGTTAAGTCGTGGTCAGTGGTGTCTGGAAGCTGCCATCCAACACTTCAGATTAGGTGGTAGTACAGAGAGGGTCTGAAACCTTAGCACCTGCACCGTTATGAAATCTGGAGAGCGTGACTGATCTATCTTCACAGAGTATTTCTCACCCCAGATTTCCACTTGACTTTCGTTTGATATTGCTGGGATGGCTGTCTCTGATTCATATCACCCAGTGCATGGTGAAAGTGAAAATGATTCTTACCTTTGGCCCACAAAGGCTTCTATCTTCTAGAAGCCTCTTCTTAAAAGAACTGCTTGCTTAAAATATCGCATGAAAAATGAATCATACTATGATACTACTTTGTCTTTCTACATAACCTTCTGTCCAGTTTTGTACTCAGAAATTATTTAGCCTTGGTACAGATATCTCTAGGGCAAATAATTTGAATTATGTGTCAGTAAACCTTGCCAGAGTTCCGGAAATTTCCATTAAAGTTTTTTTCTGAGCTTATTCAGTAACCTCAGTCATGGAAGCTGACAGTACAGAAGTTGCTGTAGACAAGCTTGTGGGAAAGAGATAAATGAATTGGGTATTATCTACATGAAGATGATACTTTGGACCATAATGGGGAAAATTAAGCCACAAAGGGATGACAGTGTTGAAAAACCAGAGGGAAAGTATCTGTAATTCAACCCTAAATATCAGAACTGTGCATGGTAACAAAATAATATCACAAATACAGTTAAACAACTATTTTAGAGACATTTCAGAAAGCCACAGGATATGCTTTAAGCGTTACATCTAGAGTGTACAAAGCTACACAAAAAGACAATTTAAAGTTGACAGTGGGCCAAAGCCACCTGCAGCCAAGGGTTATCACAGCTTCATTACAGTGGGATCAACTACAGCCTACTTGAGAAGTGGTTGTTAGGGACAAGGTGAGGGGAACTACTCTGCAATCGACAGTAGAACAAGGGAATTCACAGAATTATCGGAGCAGTGACACCATCTGTTGCATGTGGCATCATCTAATGTCTTGCTGACTGTATGGGTTTGGTACAGGAAAGTGCTGAGCAGGCAAAAAGCCCCAGCAGCGCCGGTGACTGACAGGCAGCCCTAGCTGTGATTTAAAGGGCCGCGCTCCAAGGGTTTGCAGTTGCATCATCACACTACTGAAGGAACCTGTAATAGCAGGCTAAAGGAGCAGTCTGACTTGGGTTGTTTCTGGATTTATCCTACAGTTTTCTCATTTCGGCAGAAGGGCTGATGATCTCAGTCTTGGGGGAATATCGCATGGAAATGCACAGCTGCTAACCCCAGTGTAACAGCAATACACAAAGAGAGACAAATAGGTCAGGAGTCTTTCTTGGGGAACATGTGGTTCAGTTCAGTCTTCTCAGGCCTGCACAGATGATCAGGAAAAGGCTATTTATGTCAACGATCATCAGAAGACACAGAGGAGAAATGCTGATGGAGAGGCTGAGAATTTAAACTGAGTTACTGGAAGAGAACAGGTTTGCTGAGCTTTCAGGGTCTTGTATGGAATTTGGTAAACTGAAAGGCTCTTGCAGTAGGGTGGTTTCAACTGCTTCTGGTGCCTCGTTTAAATGTAAAGATGAAAATTCTGCAAGCTTTTTGTGTAGACCTGATTCTGCCTATTTAAGGCAACAGGAACTTCAGAAAAATCCCAGCTGTGACTGCTCCTGGGGATTTATTTTAGGAAATTTGCTTCCACATTAACAATCACCAACACAGAGCAGAAGTCGGCACCTTTTAGACTCTTATGAGGATCCTGGTGTGGAGCACAGCATCAAGTAAGAAAGTGGAAAACATGCACTTGACTATATTTCCAAGCAGTTCCACTGTCACAGGTCTATTCCTCCCACTGCCAGGAGGCCAAGGAGTTGTTCCAGTAATTCGTTACTCACTCTGGCTTTTTTCTCTCTTAGGAAAAATATTTATTCCTAAAGAAAAGCCCATAGAAACCCGTACAGAAGAGAAAGTGACCCTGGATCCGGAACTAGAAGAAGCCCTGGCCAGCGCTTCAGATACTGAGCTCTATGACCTTGCAGGTTAGACAATATATAGGTATGATCGCCCTACACATCCAGTTCTTCTCTGCCTAGACCTGCCACCAGGAGTGTCTCATGATCATCTCTCGAGTACCTGCTGATTCACTATACAGACCGGTGGCCAACCTGTAGGCCACACATTGCCCATGAAGACTTCAAGCGTGGCTCGGTAGCTGCTGCATTTTAGACTGCTCTCATCTGCTTATAATTGATGTAGAAGTCAGGGGAGACGATGAACCAGCTAACATGATTTGGGGAAAGGAAGGGTAGGTGGTAGTCTGCAGGCTGGGGTGTTTGCATTGTAGTGGAGACCATTAACTTTACTGCATCTGCATTGTTTGTAGCATACTATTGCTACCTGCTGACAACTCTGACATCCAAAATGGCAGGATGAACTTGTTAGAGGATGCAGTGGATGAAGATTCTGCATCCATGAAGGAGTTTGGAATCTAACCCCTCGAATCAGGAAGTTGGTTGCCAGCTGATTGGACCTGGGTATCTTCAGCACTTTTAATTCTTTTCCTTTAATCCAGAGTATATGTTCTAACGTGTGCACAAAGGAAATCATTTGGAAGTGTAACCACTTGCATAAATAACATTTGATACTACAGTATAAGAAAGGGCAAGCAGTAGTTCTTCAGCCGCCTGTGACTTTTGTGCAGTTTGTATCATGGGTACGTCACATGTTTATGCTAGTAGAAGATCATCATATGAATCCGTAATTTGGGAAGAAGCAAACCAGCCAGGGCTGGTGAGATTAATGTAAACGGGTCATCCTAAAACCGGGCTCAACCTAGTGTTGAGCCCTCCCTATGGAACCATTGACATCTCCTGCCTTGTCCACCCATTCCACAGTGGATCCTAACCTTCCCTGGGCTCTCTTGAGGTCCATGGCCTACGTTTTTGGGGCCCAGTCTACACAAAAATTTTTGGTGGTAGAATTGCAACTCTATTGACAATTTTTTTTATTTCATTAAGAAAATCTAAATTAAATATTGCAGCATATTAGATTAATCTGAATCTGGATTAAACCAATATTAAACTGAAAACTCTTGTAGCTACTATATTGTCCTATTGAAGGATGTGATCTTGCCACTGTCTTCTGTAATTCTTGGGTACAGCACCCATTTCTGGAGGCATTAGTCTTCGCTCTGACTGAAATGTGGTGCATCACAGGAATCTCAGGATTATAATGCAGCTGGCACTTCTCAGGAAGTCTGAAAACAGCGAGTAAAACACCTACTGCCTAGAGTTCTGAGAACAGTTATAACTGCACCTAAATGGTCATTTGCTTACAGAACAGAGTATTTTCCATAAGAAAAAATAGATTATAAAAGTAAAAATCTACCTCAAGCTAATAACTTTTAATTAATGCGTGATCCTATAGAATAAAGTCCAATTAGATAATTTATGGGAGAAGTATCAGCAAACACAGCAGGATTTATTCTCTGACACCATGGAAGTTCATTTGCACAAAAGACCACTTTGCAGCTTCTTTTATGGAGTTTTGGTTTCTCTTGTCATTTCTCTCATAACAGTTTACATCCTTACTATTTATTTTAAAGTCCTGCAATATATATATTTTTTTTTCCAAGCACGTTAGCATCCAGGTGCTTCCTGAATGCCAATTTATTAAGCTAACTACATGTACAGTCAAATACCAAACAACACAACAAAGAGCAATAAGAGGTCCAGGTTGTATATTAGGGAAAAAAGTGATTAGGATTGTAGCATGAAACAAGTTACCCAAAGAGATTGTGGGGATTCCATCCCTGGATGTTTTAGGATCCAGCTAGCCAAAGCCATGGCTGACCCAGTTAATGCTGGCAACACTCCTGCGTGAGGGGCAGGCTGGGCAGGAAGGTATGCATACTACATTGATTCAGTTGTGCAAAATCCTGTATTAAAAATGTCTCTAACTCCAGTATTTAGACCCCTAAAGACTCTCCCTACAAGCAAGCATGACTCAGAGATAACATTTTATAAAGGGGGTTTTGTTTGGGGAACTAACCTAGAATTTGTCGCAGGTATTTTTCTGCAGTCTTTGCTCCTGCCATTAACATTGTATCTTGTTGCTGGTATTTACACATTTTAGCTGTTCTTGGAGTGCACAACATGGTCAACAACCCAAAATTTGATGAAGGAGGAGCTCGCAGTAAAGATGGAAAAGGAACCGTGAGAAGTAAGCAAGCAGATTTCTGTTGTGGGTTATATGTCATCTCTAGGGACTTGTACACCTGTAGTTTGGGTGTATTGGTCTAATTCAATGTAACTGGGCCTTACCTTGATTGATCTAGTTAATCATGAGGGGGAGCTCTTTAAAGTAAATATACTCTTAAAATTCATTATCTGTAATGACAACGGTACTATGCAAATAAATCGTTCCTAAGGAGCTTTGTTTTCCTAGAGAGCCATGTCTGGCTCTGCAGAGCTTCCTGAAAGGATGAGAGTATTTAAGAAGCCGCGACATAGATATTTTCATTCCACTTTGGTTTAGGCAGTGGACAGAAAACAGCCAGCTGTGGCTAAGAGGTGGCTACAGCACAGGGCAGGCCATCTCACCCCCAGTACCTACATTTACACAACTGAAGAACGACTTGTAACCACGGGGCTTGAACCTGGCAGAGTCCCTGGCAGAGTCACGTCTGTGACCAGAGTCACGTCAAGCTGCGGTCACAGGGAGGCAAAGGCCACATGGATGTGCTCCTGCCCCGGCTACTCTCTCTCATCTACTCCCTCCACCGTAGTCCTGTGGCAGCGTGTTTAAACACTGTCTGTTACACGGCTGCGTAGGTACACGGGAGGTGCAATCATTCAGGAAATCCCCCAGCAGAAACAGCTGTAGTTACTAAAACAAATCCAGAAATGTTTGCACTAAATAAAGAGACCTTTGGTGAATCAGATCTTAGCTCGGCAACCGACAGGAGGCTGGGTGGGGGGAGAAATGGGTATGTCTGAATTCCAAGTTTTTCTTGACAGCTCATCACCTCCAAGCTGTGGGATATCAAGGGGGCTAAACTTTGCTTTTTAAGACAAAATTGTGGAATGCCCTTTTCTAGGGAAGCAGTACTGAAAAGATGTTTTCGTCTTGTAAGGCCATGAGAACAGCAGCTATCTTTACCAAGGACTTTCATTTCCATCGTTCTTCACTAAAGGACAGGTGGGAAAGTAGACAGGACACTGTGTCACCTCATTTTTCTCAGGATTAAGACCGCTCTGCAAGCCTCTTCAGTGGGGCCCTGTGCAAGATGCCATTTATCTCATAACAGGCAACTGCATGCATTACTAATCCACACAGATTTCTGAATATTTTTGTTGTATTGAGTCAAAATGTCAGCTATGTGAGTCAGCTAAACTATGCTCCTATCACAGGCTTAAGAACCAGAAAATCACCATTGCATCACTCTATTCTTTGATCCAAAAGCAATACTTCTTCTTAGCCAAGTGAAAAGCTTCAGTAAAAGAGGGAGACATCTCAAAAGTTGCCCATCGATGTGGCAAAACAGCACCATTATTAAAGAAACAAGGTAAAACTCATGGGAAGCAACAAGAAGTAGAAAGTGAAAAATACTGCTAACTAGACTGAGTGTGCTGTGAGGCCTAACCTGAGGACAGGGTGCGAGTCTCTCCCTAGCTCCCAGCTTGGCAGGGTGTTGCCACAAATGCAAGAAATGCTTTGCTATTTTTTTGTTTTTGTTTACTTTCCACCATTACCTCCAAGACAGGGAGGAGCATTGCATTTTACCAGTGGTTTTCGATTTCCTACTCCCTAGGAAGGCTGGAGTGTTATTCGGGCATATGTGAGGTCTCTCAGGGAAATAGTGAAAAAAACCAAATGTTCAGGATAAAAGAGTGAAAACTGGCTCAAGGTTTGTGTATGACTTCATCTCTACTAAGAATATGAGTACTAAAAAAATACTTGGTTTTCTTTTGGCTGTGGTATGGCATGAACTTTACCCATTGCACTGAACAGCAACATGTAGTACCTTGAGACTTGAGCACGTCTTCAAAATCACCCACTTTTTGCAACATAAAATAAAAGGGTTTAAACATACTTGTGGTCAGTAACATATTCCTTTCTTGCCTCTAGTTGCTTGGGTGGTCAGGGCTTACAAATTAATCTCCACAACTACATTTGTGGGAATTAGAAATACTAATTGTGTTGTAAGCTATCATTTTTATGCATATCTAAAAATATTTATAGCTCTTAGCTTCCAGCCTGAAAAACTGTATGTCTTTGGAGCATGAATACTCAAAGCCTTCATAAATCTTGGTGCTGGCAGATGGACTTGCTTTTCATGCATTGATAGTTTTATTATTTAGAAAGTGCAGATGTTGCAGTTTTACAAGAGCTAATTGAATTTATAGTAGGGCTGATAGCATCAGCCGAGAGAAGGAAACTGAGGGGCCTCCTGTTCATGTTGGCACAGTCTATTCATAGAATCATAGGTTGGAAAAGGCCTCTAAGATCATCGAGTCCAACCATCCACCCAACACCACCATTCCTACTAAACCATATCCTGAAGTGCCACATCTACATGTTTTTTGAACACCTCCAGGGATGGGGACTCCACCACCTCCTTGGGCAGCCTGTTCCAATGCCTGATCACTCTTTCAGTAAAGAAATTTTTCCTAATATCCAATCTAAACATCCCCTGATGCAATTTGAGGCCACTGCCTCTCGTCCTATCGCTAGTTACCTGGAAGAAGAGACCAACACCTGCCTCACTACAACCTCCTTTCAGGTGGTTGTAGGGGGCAATAAGGTCCCCCCTCAGCCTCCTCTTCTCCAGACTAAACAGCCCCAGTTCCTTCAGTCACTCCTTGTAAGACTTGTTCTCTAGACTTCTCACCAGCCTCCTTGCCCTTCTTTGGACTCGCTCCAGCACCTCAGTGTCTTTCTTGTAGTGAGGGGCCCAAAACTGCACACAGTACTCCAGGTGCAGCCTCACCAGGGCCGAGTACAGGGGCATGATCACCTCCCTACTCCTGCTGGCCACACCATTCCTGATACAACAGGAGTCCACTGGCCTTCTTGGCCTCCTGGGCACACTGCTGGCTCATGTTCAGCCAACTGTCGACCAGCACCCCAAGGTCCTTTTCCGCCGGGCAGCTTTCCAGCCACTCCTCCCCAAGCCTGTAGCGTTGCATGGGGTTGTTAGGCTCCTAGGTGCAGGGACATTTTCTAAGTAATCTAATGGGCAAGTTCTGAGCACACCTTCCTTTACAGATATTAGACAAAGAACAAAGCAGCTCTTGCAATATATTACTTCCTATACAATATTTTTTAAAGCTGCTTTGGCTCGAATTAATTGTACTGGGACTTTGGTACATAAAGGAGGAATGTGCCCATGATGATACTGCCCAGCCGCTGCGACCGCAGCCTCCAGCGACATGCTTCTGGGTGCACAGAAGGTGCAAAGGGCATGGCAGGGATAACGGGACTAATGCTCCTGTTTCCAAGTTTTGTGGTTCGTATAAACTCTTTCTTGAATGCTACAGTACAAACCTAAATGGGAATTGAAAAGCCAGGCTGTTACTGATGATGCCTGTTCCTCACGTCAACATTTCATGAGATCTTGTGTTGCAGATGTGGTGAAAGGTGAAAAGGTCAAACCCATCTTTGAGGAGCCACCTAATCCAACCAACGTGGAAGCAAGTTTACAAAGGATAAAAGCAAACGATCCTAGTCTGATAGAAATCAATCTCAACAACATAAAGGTAGATGCTGTGGTTTCATTTATGTCATCATAGATGGGCTTATTCAAGTATTTCCAAAGCCCTTGCCTTTTATCTTCAAATTTTGTCCCTCTACTGTTCAGAAAAAGCAGGACGCACAGGAAAGGGATGTGGAGGGAACTGTTGTAGAGGCTTCAAGGTTGTCGATGCCTGGTATTGAATTAGATGCCAATTAAAAGCCCAAGGGGTGACTCCCTGTGGCCGCCTTTCTTTAGCAGACTGCAAAGCAAGATATCTCCTGGGCACTGTGTAATCATCACTGGCCAGATTCAGTTAGCCCACACGTGCAAGTGGAGGAGGAGCTGGCATGCAGAGACTGAGCAACCAGCAGCAAAATAGGAAAGTAGCTCAGAGATGGGTCACGTGCTTGCGATGGCCTGACCCAGTTAAAGGCAGTGCTGAGATCACATCCTAGCCTGGGCCTCCACGGGTCTCTGAAGGCTGCTAGGAGCAGAGTACGCGCAGTCCACTCTGAGATACTCTGAAAAGCATCGGGGACGTTTAAATTGTGTAGACTGGCTATTAATCAATCAGTTTGATAATAGTTAAAATCAGCGTCTAGCGATGTGACTGGCTTTCCTAATTACTGGATTTATTTTCTTAATGCAGAACATTCCTATTCCAACACTGAAAGAATTTGCAAAAGCTTTGGAAAGCAACACACATGTGAAGACATTCAGCCTTGCAGCTACTCGAAGCAATGACCCTGTAGCTATTGTAAGTTTAAACACTGTTTGGAAAAAAAACACAATGATTTTTAAGTAGGTCTGTGTCTGCTTTAGGATGCATTCTTCGTTTTCCCTTGCAGAATTTCCCTGTGACTATGCAAAGCAGAAGTGTAATCTCTTCTGATCTACCTCTGTGTTCTTCTAAGCCTATTTGTGTTTTATTTCTTTGTAGGTACTAAGCCATGTTTTGCAGATACTTTGTTACTCCCTGAAACTCTCAAGACATTATCTCATATCCCCTCTTTCTGACCCTTCAGGCATTTGCAGATATGTTGAAAGTGAACAAAACACTGAAGAGTCTGAATGTAGAATCCAACTTCATCACTGGGATGGGTATTTTGGCACTGATTGATGCACTGAAAGAGAACGAATCCCTGACGGAGATTAAAATTGACAACCAGGTAAAGAGAGAGCATGGAGTGAGTCCACTTTTGTTTCCCCTCTATATCAATTCCCAGAGCATTCTCCTAAAGGGCTCTGACAAAGTCAAGGCAGCCTCTGTGGCTCAGTCATTCTGTAGCTCATGTCCCGTGCCTGTGCAACCAAACAGTGGAAAACTTCTAAATAAAACTGGTCAAAGCCAAATATAAAACCCAGAGCAAAATCTCCAGGGATGGGATTCTCTTTGTACTGTGCAGCACAGTACTGAAATATAACCACTTATCTCTGTCTCATATGAAAACTAATATTTTCTTGTCTTTTGGGGACATTTCACCGCATCACCAACAGCGGCAGCAGCTGGGTACAGCTGTAGAGATGGAGATTGCCAAGATGCTGGAGGAGAACTCCAAGATTCTCAAGTTTGGCTATCAGTTCACAAAGCAAGGTCCAAGAACCAGGGTAGCAGCAGCTATCACTAAAAACAACGATCTGGGTAAGATGCTACTACGTCTACTCATCATTTCTATATGTGAGCCAAGCCCTGACCTTCCTAGACACAAATCTTCCTGTCTGTACATAAGATCATATTTTAACTCTACAACATTCAATCTGCTGTATGTGAGGGGTGATGCAGAGCTCCACAGACTCTAGAGTAGACAACAGCAAAGATCCCACTGTGATTAGGAGCCACTATTCTTCTTCTCCTTCTCCCATTCCTTCTGGGAAAGGGAGTTATTTCAGCCTTTTCCATGGAGCACCCTGGATTTCCAGCTGCCCTGTCAGCTGTTCTGGACAGCAAATAGAGAGCCAAACCCATTCTGTTTGTTCAGTGAACACAGATGTCCTCACTTCTTGGCCCTGCCCATGACAGACCAAGCCTGCCCAACTAAGGGAACGAAAAAGGGAACCTTTCCTGCCTGCGTGACCAAGTACAGGCAAAGACGATAAAGCTTTGCAAGTTTTACTGAGTGTGATGTGCTCTGCCCTGTGTGCTCAAGACACAGAATAAGGAGGAGATGATTAGGCAGGAGTAGTTTACATTAAGGAAAAAAACCCCACATTAACTATGTGTTTTTAATCAATTCTACTTCAAAGTGGCGTGTCAAACCATGATGCCGTTTCTGGCTTCAGCTTGGGTTTCTCTCTGTGAGGGATAAGATAAAAGTTGAGGCCTATTTCTTTCACACATACTTTTATTTTTTTTCAGTTTTAATTTTTAGCAGTACCTAAGCATTCCAATGATATATACTGTTGGTCCTGAAACTTAGTGTCCCGGAACGGTATTTGAAACATCACACCAACAAAGAGAGAAAGACCTTTTCTCCCACTATTTAACCAGCTGCCATTAGACGTATGTCCTGTGCCTAATCTTCATTTTCCTGCTTTTGTATTTTATGGTTTTGTTCAAGACTGAGTAGGACAGAATACCTAAAGGAATTCCATAAAATAAAATAAATGAAGCAACAAAAGACTGAAAGCAGACACAAATGACTGATGCTGCACTGTAGGCTCTGGAATAATGCAGTCTGTCTGCCAAGAAAGCACTATGAAATAAACCTCCTGATAGTAAAGTAATGGGATGTTTGTAGCAATATATTGTTATTGACTTTCTGGAGTGAAAAGTGCTCATTCATCCAGTTTTACTGCTTTTGTTCTGTACCTTAGTAGTTCAATATCAGAAACAGGACATCAGAGTTTGATGTAACACCAAATTTTGTATCACACAAACAGGAGAACCTCACTAATCTTATCTGGCCAGGTCAGAGAAGACTCAATACATTTTTATTAGAGCGTGGAGAAGGAAATGCTGCCCAACTAGACCAGCTCTATACCAGCTGTAATGTATCCTAAGTGCTGTAAAAATTCACATGGGGCTGCTTGTCAAAATAATCCTGCCCATAACACAAAACTCTTCACTCTCTGCTTCGCTAAATGGCAACTTCAGCCTATTTGGTTTCTAGTGAGAATCCAGAGTTAATTAACTTACTGTCAGATGGCTGATGCAATCAGAGCATGTGGCGTTTAGACAGGTAATTTAAGGTCCAGTATGAGGTTTTCCTTATTACCAGTACTGGCTGATATCAGTTCTTAAGAGTACTTCCAATTATTTTCTAAAAGGATGTGATTATTGCTTACCTATAGTATACACTTGTGCAATTACAAAAGTTATTAATTTTTTATGCCTAATGCTTAAATAATCCAGAGCAGTGCTATGCAGACTAAAGCAGACAGTATCAACTGAGCTGGAACACAGTGGCTTTCAGAAGAACAATAAAACTGTAACAAAAATCTAAATGGAGCCATTGGGAGGAAGCACTGGTAATGGTGATTTCTTCATCATCTAAAACCTTTAGCGCGGAGTCTGATTTTTATAGAAAATGTATTGATATGAACACTTGGTGAAATTTGACAGTCTGCAATATAGAAAGTGCCGTTTAGATAAACTGTTTTATTTAGCATTAAGATCTGTTAATTATGGCATTTATGGGCATACTTCTGTTGAGTATTTCTTAGACGCTCCTTGCTTCCTATTCATGGTATGGGGAAGGGAGTGTGTCAGTGAGAAAAGTCCTTAGGCTCTCAGGAAAGCAATAATGACTGCTCTTTTCTTGTTTTATTGGTCTAGTTCGTAAAAAGCGGGTGGAAGGAGAGCGGCAGTAGCCACGCCATAGAGGATGCAAGGCAAGATTGGAGGCCACCAACAACTGCAGTCTCAGAGTGTTCACTGGTCAGAAGGGAAGGCACTGGAAAACCATTACAATGGGAGCTGCTCATTTCTGTTAATGTCTCATTTTAACCTTGAAAAGGCAGCCTGTTCATGTTTAACTTTCACGGTTAATTTAATTTTTATGAGAAAGATTTATAGTTCGTTTCGTTTTAATGAGAAAAATGTTTTGCAATATCTGAGGCCAACACGCAGAATCTTAACTGTGTTACTGAGCATAGTATATAGTGACTCTGACCCTTATTTTAGAAACTTTTTGATATGTTAAAATATGATCTTGTGTATGGATAAGGGATTCTCTGCTGAAAATAGAAATTTTAGGGCCAAGTTCTGCAATGCCTTATGTCTGAATGGGATGCTCCCTGGAGTAGAACTAGTAATGCCAGTACAGGTTTGCAGGATCCCACCCCTGCGCCTCCCTCCCGCAGTGGGATCTGGGCAGCTGGAACAGCACCCTTCTGCCTTCCCGGGTCTCCACCCGCCTGGGCCCAGCTGCAGGATCACGCCTAGGTGTATACTCATTGTCAAAGCCTACTTGTTTACATAAGCTTAGGTTAGTTGGATCGTTTTGCAATGTTAAACGCATATTTGTTATCCTTACTCCACATTGTAAAGTAATGTTAGTGCTGCCAATCCTATAGACTTTGAATGTTTTGGGGTTTTTTCTAGGCCAACAGGTTTTTATTTGCTACTAGAATGCACAGTTTACAGCTATTAATCTAAACAAGTATTGTGAGCAATATTTGTTTTGCTTTGAGCCATGCGGTTTTTAAAATTTTTTTAGTTCTGGTATTTATGTATGTTGTTAGTATTATAGAATGTTCTCAGGACCTTTTCGATGAAGATTAATTAGTTAATCCAGCAGAGCAGCTGTGCTACCAGGAAAAACACATTAAAAGGGTAGTTGTGACAGCTACATAACTTACATTTATAGGTGCCAGTTCAGGTTCGTCCCTGAATCACAAGGCACTTAGGTATTCGTGTCAGTGCTTAGCTGAATAAGGGCAGATTTAAGCATGTGCGCAAATGCTTTGCTAAATCAAGGCCTTAACTCAGATGCTGGACATAATCTTAACCCAGTGGAAAACACTCCTGAAGCAGCAGCTAACCCCAGCGCTCAACAGCATCAAAACTTTTGTAAGAATTCAGTCTGGTGTTTTGCTTTGTGTCTCTTACAGTCTAAAGCGATTCTCTACCACTGCTTTGTCACTGCCAACAGCTTCCCCTGACTGGCAGCCAGAGGTTCGTTTTGGTTACGCGTCCGCACGCCATCAGAGCTAGGGGGGACTCGGGTTAGGTGTGTCACAGGTAGCAGCGCTTTCCGCAAGCTGCAGGAACACACCCGGGGCCAACGCTGCTGCCCGGGAAGCACTGCCTGTCCCCCAAGAACTCCCTGGGGATGCCAAGGACGAAGCACTGCTTCCTTCAGCCCTCCTTCACTGGAGCATGCTCCTGACCCGGGGAGAGCTGGGAGCCACGGGGAGCAGACGCCAGGGAGTCCCAGGAGCAGTTGGTACCCGTTTGATGTTTTCATGACCGGAGCTGGGGTGCAAGCGAACGGGATGAACCCTCCCTCCATGCCTTTTGTCATGGAAATGAGTAGGTCCAAGGCAACGCTCTACCTGTTGGATGCCGGCCTTCCTACTGGGGTCCAAACTGAATAACAAACACTGAAATCCCACTTAAAATAGTTTGCTGAAGTGGTCTGCTGAGCTAGGATGTGAAGTGCAGTATCCATGGTTTACTTCCCTGGAGAGGTCCCAGTCTTTACAATTTCCACCCCTCCTTCCACAGAATAAGGCTGAAACGTTCCCTTTGCAAGTAAAAAACATAACACACGGGGGAGTCTTGCTGAGATTTTCCCTGGATACATGCAGGATTTGCTGTGAAAAACTTTGATATCCCATTAAAAAAAAAATTACAAGTTCTGTAACACAGTCATAATTCTGCATGGGCTGAAATAAACAGTCCTTAAAAAACATGCCGATTCCCAGGGGAATACCGGGCTTTGCAGCATCAAGAATCATGGGTAGGAAGAATTCCTCATATCCAAACCCAAGAGATTGTGGTTACTGACAAACTTCCATGATTAGAATCACACTGCCCCTATTTTCTTCTTCTTTTCCTTTGATCCAACCAAGGGAATTCCAACTATCATTCAATTTTTTTGTTATGTAATTTGAAGATTTTTTTTTAATGGTTACTTTTTGGTTTTTTGAAGCATGGTACGTATATGTGTTTAAGGGAAACAAGTGCAATCCATTTCTAGTCTTAATTTCCATTTAAAGTGTTGGTATTTGCATGCAGCAGTTTTACACAGATGGTTTGGTCTGACTGCTTCATGATGTCTGCGGCTTGTCATCCTGTACAGCTTTGCTCACAGCCACACGCGTGGTTATATGGTCAGGTGACTCCATCCATGTCAGCTACAGTCTGCATCACGGACCAAGGTACCTGGCTGGGGAAGGCCCCGTGGGCCCTCCCTCCCTTCACCGGCCCTGCTCTCTGCACAGGCGTGTTTCCTCTGAAGGGAGGATTCCTCAGGCGCTCGAGAGCATCATCTCAAACACCAGCCCCACCACGCACCAGCAGACAGCACTGGGAGCTGTGCACACCATGGCTGGGACCTGGGGGGGCAGCTCCTTCCAGCACGCCTGAGGAGAACTCTGAATCCATGGCTGTCTTCTCCAGGCAGCTGCTGCCAGCCCTGCCAGGGGGCTTGGAGACTAGAGACATCTCTGTCCTGCCTCTTCTGTGTGCTCCACACAAGGGCTCCATTGTCACCTGGCCTTGAGCATCACAAAGCCAACATTGCGACAGTATAAGGAGCTGTTCAATGCAACAACAGTGCACAATGGTGATGCTTGGAGGCAGATTTTCGTACTAGTATAGGATTATTTAGCTGGTTAAGATCTCTGCAACTAACATGAAGGGGGTCAGGATGTGACCGGTCATTTTAAATTCTACTTTCAGGCAACATCTGGCATACTCAATGCTGAATGGGGAACAGGGACAGAAGAGTCCTTTTTTCTTAAGCAAACATTCAGGAGTATCTGTCTGTTTTTGCACATTGCTTCTCATGTTGACAGCTTCGGTTTGGTATGTATTTTTTATACATTTTTTTCAAGGAAAAGCTCAACTTTGTGCGTGTCCTAACATATATGTGAATCGTAGTGTGCACTAAGGGCCATATGTGTACATGTATAATTCTAGGTGAAGATATTATCTCTGGAACAAAAGTAATTGCATGCGCACAGTGTTGTGCACATTACTCAAGAGGAAGGGAATTACCACGCTATGTAACAGTGACTCCCTGACATTGTGGTTTTTCTAAATAAATCTTCATAAAGGATTTGGCTTTTGCAATTTCTCTTGGTTTAGTGCCTGAATCAAGCCTCCTTTCATGCTCTGACATCAGATTAAGCAGCTTTCTCCACTGTGGCTCTTGCAGCTTTCACTCGTCTGGATTATCTGCCAGGTTTGACCTTCTCTTCCCCCCACATGACACGCACTGGGCTGGAGCTTTGCGAATGATAGTTGGGTGCTCAGAACCAGGAGTGGGAGCAGAGAAACCTGGATCCTCCTCCCAAGTTTACCAGACCTCCCAGATTTAAAGCAAGTGCGTCATACCTGTCCATGCCTCAGCTTGCACACTCTCACATCAGCCTAATACTTTCCTGCCTCCCAGCTCAGTGAACAAGTGTGAAACTGAGCTTCTCAGAGGAAGATGCAGCAAGAGATGCACTTTTCTCTAAAGGAAATAAAGGGGAAATTTAAAACCTCCCATGTTCAGGATGTGTCACTATCTGGGATACTTTGGATCACATTTCTGTGATGCACCTAGACATATAAAGCTGCCCTTGAAAACCCACAGTATTTTCAGGCGTGACTAGGTACCAGCTTTCACCAGCTGCAGTGTAAGTTTAAATACACAGGATACATCAGTTCCTGTCCCTAGACAGCTACATACCGTAAGAATCTGGCCCAGGCGCCCAGCCCCCTTTTGGGATCTTACATGCTTTTGAAAATTATGCCCCATATCCCAAGACTAGATTGTATTACTAGTGTGCCTTTATTTTTTTTTAAATATATGCCATGGCTCTAAAAGTAAGTACACTGTGAAAACTGAAGACAACTGAAAAGCAGGACCCTTATTCTATAATGCTTAATATTTTCTTCAGCTCTGTTTTCAAGTTCTACAGCTCTGAAATTATGTGACAAAGCAATATAATAGATCTCTGCAGGCTGCTGTTCTTTTTTGAAATAAAAAATGTGTGCAATTTATAAAAAGCTGCTGCCATTTGAGCTGCAACAACTAGATTTCATGTTCTCTTCATCACTAACTCAAGGAAGAGACGGATTTCACTGTTTTACGAAATTTAGAATCCAATTCAACTGTGTGCAGTTGTATGCATAAAATCACTATTGTCTGATCAGGATCTTGTACCCAAAGCAGAGCAGAAGCACGATAACCCATTATCCCTCCTCAGCTGGCTTTTACTCAGGAACCCTGCAAAATGAGCTCTCTGTGAGCATCAGGTAGAGAGACACGAATTTCCTGCCCTCTCTGCTCCGCACAGTGGCTCTGCAATTTTCCGTATGGTGCCTCATTAGAATTTGACACCGAGAATGTACACTGATTTCTTCCAGGGTGTACACAGCTCTAAGCTTCAAGGGAATCAAGCGCATTGTAGAGTGCCTAAAGCCACAGACTGAGTTAATGAAATGGTTAAGCTGACCCTTAGAACCTATGCTGCATGTTAAAACAGGCTGCAAAATACACAGAACACATGCTTAAGGACAGATGAAAAAGAAACCTCAGAACATCTCCCCGCAGACAACGTGCTCTCTGCAATCCCAGGGAACTTCACCGTTCACCCACAGAGAAACAAAACCTCTTCCCTACCCATTTAAAGGTTGCCTTTACTTATGTCAA